TATTTATCTATCAGTCGTTGGTATGACGATAAACTTCAACCGGCAGCAAGGCTCCTAATCGGAAGATTGAAGGTTTTGAGGAGCATGGAACCACCTCTTAATTGAGGTTTTTCCAGTTCCATCCTGATCTGGGGTGGTAGCATCTGTTAGGGTCCCAACTATGGGTATATAGTGAACGCCCAAACAAAAACAAAACCCTATTAAAGTATAAAAATACATTTTTATAGTAAAAATGCCAGCAATACATTTTTATGTAAAACAAATTATGAACAATATATATTTATAGTAAAATTACCAACAATACATCAATTGGCATGAAAGAGTTTTCGTGACATTAATCCTTATAATACCTTGAAATTTCTTTAAAAAATGAAACTGTATTCTCAACAGTATTCTTCAACAAAACTATAACATAAAACATATATATCACCGACTCTAGTAATTATGACCAGAGAAAGATGTATATGCTCAAAAGCTGAGTATCCTCTGCCATATTGTTGTAGCATACATACAGACGATAATGTGTATGTCCCCATACACATAAAGTAAGTAAATACTGTATGTTGGTCTGCAGTTAGAGATTCGTTTCCAGCTGTGCTGGTCAAACTCTCTGCCTCCGGGTAGAGAGGATCCTCAGACGAGGCTATGTCGAACGGCAGAGTCTCGTCTCGGGAAACAACTACCCTACTCCGCTTATACGGGCTCTACGGGGAATTTTTGGCCGAGCCTACGGACTCAGATAACCCACATTAAATTTGGCCTTGTGCCACATCTGACCGCGTGGGTCGGTTGGTAGATATCATGCAGATGGAGATTCGTCTCCAGCTGTGCTTCTCAAACTTTCTGCCCCCGAGCACAGAGGACCCCCAGACGAGGCTATGTCGAAGGGAAATAGCTACCCGACCCCGTTTTATACGGGCTCTACCGCGAATTTTTGGCCGAGCCTACGGACTCAGATACCCCACATTAAATCCGACCAACAACACATTATTGTCATGAAATTGCCAGCAATACATTTTTATTACAAAATGATCTAAATATATATTTGTACTGAAATTATAACCAATAAAAAATGACCATCAATACATTTTTATACTGAAATTATAAACAATGCATTTTTATAAAAAAAATTATCTACAATGCATTTTTTCACTGATGTTACTAGCAATATATGTTTATAAAAACAAATGACCAACAATAGATTTTTGTACTGTAAGTACCAATAATACATTTTTCACAAAATGACCAACAATAGATTTTTGTACTCAATTTACCAGCAATACATTTTATTAAAAGTCGATCTACAATACATTTTTATACTGAAATTACCACCAACACATTTTTATAAAAAAGCTTACCCTCAATACATTTTGATAGCGATATGACAATCAGTACATTTCATAGTAAAATTGACAACATGGCATACATTGTTAAAAGAAAAAATTTAAACACAATTTGCTATGATTAATCTTATTTCTTGTAATGAGAAACAAGTTTTCAAACTTCATTTGATTTTGTAAGATTATTTGGTAAAAATGCTGCTAGCTAATTAAAGTTTAATCATGAAATAATATCATTCTCTTGAATTAATTATAAAGTTTGAATTTTCATATTTAGATTTCAGCATTAAATAACCCATAGAGGTGTTGATATGCCGCTAAACAAGAACAACCAAACAACCAAATCAAAAATATGTTGTTTTGGTTGTATGTGTGCAGAGAGTCGCACATGGAAATGCGATTGATTAAATGTTTTGTTCTGTTCACTCGAGAGGCACCCAAACATCGTAATGGTTCATGTATCCAAGTGTTTTCACATGCCTTAAAATTAGATACGTGAAGTATATCTGCGATGTCCCGTGTTGTGTAAATTGGATTACTTTTAATCATTTTGTCATTATCAATAGCTGCAGGCCTGCTGGAATGTTCTCGGCATTCCAGGTCAAAATTTTCCACATCTGAACTCTGAGAACCACTTATGCACATGATTTTCAACTAACGCAACCATCTACATAATGGGCAAATATTTTTGCTGCTTTTACAGCGTCTTTGCCTTTCCGGAAATCTCACCTCGTTTTTCTCCATTTTCACCTTTAATGTAAAACATTTAACATTTACAATCCATACACGAATCTTATAGAAAGACGCGTTGAAATGCTACCATTCAGAATATGTATATCTAAATAATAAATAAATGACAAATTCTGTCTGTCCGTCCGTGTGTTTGAAATCTCTCTAACTCAGGCCACACTTGCTCTACATAGACATATACCTTCTTTTTGGAATCAGGATGATTCCGTGATTGAAAATCTGCCCTTCATCTGGTGCTTGAGCATCCAGCATTGGTATTTATGTCCGGATAAGGAGGGAACAGTTAAAAATTCAAATTTTAAAATAACGGAAAACAATTAGTGATTTTAAAAGTTTTTAATTTCTATTGAGTTTAAAGTAAAAGTTTTTAATTTCTATTGAGTTTAAAGTAAAACAAAAACTCTGTGAATTTAAAAAAAAATTCTTTTAAATTCAGTTTAAAATATCTCCCAGACTTTATGAATTGAGGAAATCAATTTTATTTCATCAAAATACCAAGGAATCAGAGTTAAAGTAAGAGGTTTCATGACGCGAGGTTTTGAAGATTCGCAGAGTTTGTGATTTGAAGAACTCAATTTTCGGCCTGAACTGGAATTTCGGCCTAAATCGAAGTTACGGTCCAAATCGGTCTTTTGGCCCGTATTGGACTTATAGACTGAATCAGAGTTAAAATGAGGTTTTGAAGTTCCATGGAGTGAATTGAGGAATTCAAAGTTATTTCTTCAAAATTGTCATTGCTGTTTTCTAAGCTAGACCAGACGTCATTTTATTTTTGGGCCGGAGACTCAATTAGCCCTCCGCAATTGCTAGCTTAAAATTCTGCACGCGGTACAGCATTAAATTTCAGTCACGTCTGAAACTAAATCACCTGTTCAAACTACTGACAAAATGATATAAGTTTTTGTTCTAACACATTATATTTGTAAAGTCTGATAAAAATATGAAACTACATTTCTATACTTATAATAACTGTTTAATCACTTCTGGATCCTGTCAAATTAACGTCGGCTGTGTCGAATGGTATGTGATTTCCAGTCTTTCTTCGAACGTTCGATCTTCTTGCGAGGGTGTGAGAGATTCTGCTTGTTCCCTCGTAGTTCAATCATTTATAAAAGTTTCTGTTAACAGGTTCTTGTGTGTGTGTGTGTGTGTGTGTGTGTGTGTCCTAAGTTTATCTGGGGTTCCCTTCCGTGTTCATGTTTTTACCCCCACCGACCTCCTGCGAGGCCCGATTCTGCACTTGGTTGCTTTGCGGTTACTTATTATGTTAGGGCTCCTATGTCTTCAATCATTTATAAAACTTTCTGTTAACTGGTTCTTGCGCACGCGCGTGTATGTACGTGTGTGTGTGTGTGTGTGTGTGTGTGTCCTAAGTTCATCTAGGATTCCCTTCCTTGTTCATGTTGTTGCTTCCACCGACCTCCTTCGAGGCCCGATTCTGCACTTGGTTGCTTTGCGGTTACCTATCATTTTAGGGCTCCTAGGTTTCTTGACTTTCTAAGGTGACACCTAGTGCAAAACTTACTTTGGTATTGTGTAGGGTGAACACAGTAGATAATTGAATCACCCCAGATCAGCTATTCGTATTTTAAGGTTCCCGATGGGGATTGTATTCGATTCAAACCTCTTATATTTACTGGCGTGAATCACATACTACACGTAAATATCATATAAAGAAAAGAGTGTTGAACGTCTTCGTTAATAAGTCACCGTGCAAGATGATGATTATTCCAAAATGGTACGCAGTGTGTTTGCTTAACATGAGTAGGTTTCATTAGTCTACCTAAACATGTCGTTAACTAGTGACCACTACGTTGCATTGACTTTGATGTCATTTGCACCCATTTCAACCAAGAAATACTGAGTTATTCCAATATGCAGTCGCCCAGAATTGGTTCGTGGAATATTACAGAAACTTACGACGAATGATGTGACAACGACTTTCGTCCACCATAAGCCCAACTGAGCATAGATGGAACGTAGTTGAGAGGTTTATTCGTACACAAGATCAGGTAACTACAAATAGCAGGGAGCTATAGCTCTGACTCGACATTTCTCTAGTGGTCTTCCGATGTCACATCAAGTTGCTGCACACTTCAGGCGCCTAAAGGAGGTTCTACATGTCTTCAAGCTCATCACTGTATAAATGTTATTGTATATACGCGCGCATAATGTTAACAGTCGGTAAATTTTCATTTAGTTTCATTAGATTTCCCGTCAATGTCTTTTGCTGCGACATGTCATCTTTTAAATAGTGCAACATTATTGCGGCAAAACATCAGCAAATGGTACCCAGGTCAGATCACGGGCGGAAAATTTTTACACTTTAACAAGAATATTATTTTTAATCATTTCACCCTGCAATGCTATAAAGCTACTAAAAGGCAAGGGGTTACTGAGTGTGAAAGAATAAAAGAAAAAAACATTAAGAACAGGGAACAATGAAAGAATAGGAATTAAGAAGATAAAAGATAACGATTGACATTGCCTTTAAATTTTTAAAGACTAAAGAATGACTGGTAAGAATAAGTTCCACAACCGAAGCGTGCGAGAGAAGAAACTGTTAGCATAGAACTTACGATTACATCTAGTCATTCCAGCTGTAAAATTATGAGACCTAGATGCCAATCTAGTACTGCACTTAAATTTGTAAAATCGAGGTACTAAAGAGGAAAGTTCATCAGAACAATTACCATGAAATATTTATAGAAAATAAGTAGCTAAACTCAATTTTTATGAATTACCAGAAATTTTTCGAAAACCCTGTAATCACCGTTTTTTGTTTTGTTTTTGTTTTTTAAGATCAAAGTCTTAGTTTAATATACTTGTTTTATTTTTAATCTAAATCTAATTTCATACATTCATGCTTTTTAAATTTCTTTACAGGCGGCAGTGGTCACTGTTTCTAGAATGAAATGCTACACACATTGCCATAACCCTGTCATTTTACCGGGAGTTTGCTGTCCATCATGTGCAGGTAATACTTGACACTTCTGTGCCTGCTTATTTGTAAAAGTTTATTATAACATCAGTTAGTGTTTCTTCTGTTTTTTTTTAATCAACTATGCACCCCCCAGAAAAGTAGACGATCAGCATTCACCATAGCTTTCTTTAAATAAACTGCAAACCGTCATAATTCTTCATCAGAAAGCTAATTGAATAATTTCCTGTTTCCTTCACCACGGCTGTGAATTCAGAATCGTTCGTCTCTTGATTTGGACAAAGTCCGACAATTATTTTAAGACATTTTTATGATTATACATTCTTTTTATAGATACAAATATTTAAGTAAATGCTCTGTTTATAATAAACAGGATTAACAACATTTACCGGCCTGAATGTCCGAGAAATTTTCATTGTTAACATTTTGTTTACAGTTGGATACACATTGAGGAGATATGAATGTACGTGAGAGAATCATGGAAGATTGTAGTTTAAAGACAGTAAAATCGACCTTGCTAACCGAAACCTCGTTTGTGGCCCAATCGGTTAAGGTACGTCAGGCTATATGACGGTTCCGAATAGGTTCGATTCCTGTCGGAGGACGAATATTTTCTATGAAAATTTCTCGGACATTCAGGCCGGTAAGTGTTGTTAATTCTGTTTATTATAAGCAGAGCATTTACTTAAATATTTGTATCTATAAAAAGAATTTATAAACATAAAAACGTTTTAAAATAATTGTCGGACTTTGTCCATTTCATAATATATATGTATATATATATATAAGTACAAATGTGAACATTGAAAACAACTCCCATGTTGGCTTCAATGTCCACTTTTATATTTACATACGCTCTATCCTAATATTGAGCACTTTTAACATACATACACACACATATATATATATATATATATATATATATATATATATATATATATATATATATATATATATTTTATTGAATCAGAATTTATATAAATTCACAATACTTATCGGAGTTCGACTTGGCGTTTCGTGATTTCTCATTTTTCAGGACTCCCATAAAAATGATTGTATCAATTTTGATATAGTCATTCGTATTCGAGTCCAAAATGGATATTCCACGTCGACCTCCGATGTGTACTATGAATTTATATTACTTCTGACTCAATATTTATTGTTCTAGATTACTATCGAAAAGTTTATCGGCAAAAATTCTGTTCCCTTTGATATACGTTGAATTATAGAAGTTTACGTGTATCAATAGATAGCATTTCTATTATTTTATTCATGTTATTTATTATATAGCATATAATAAAATATTACATAGCATATAATATATGGCATTTTTAAATTTAAACACTGTTTCCAGTAAATATATTTTTATCCAGTTGATACTGCGACAAAATGACTTCTTATTACTTGATCAATAATTTTTGCCTTCGACTTCGACTTGACTAATCAAATTATGCATCAATATTAATAAAATGTCGACCAGTAATACAACTTAATGTTCAATCGAAGCGACAGGAAGTGATATCACAATGGAAAACAATAGTATTGTGGTCAGAGGCTGTTCGATAGTAGTCACTGACCTTATGCGGAAATATGGCAGCTCTGATCACCGGGAGAAAACCGGTTGCTGATATATTACAGATGAGCTTTTTGGGATGAAATGATAAACAATCAGTATTAGATGATATCAAATATTCCTCTACTGACGAATTAAGTAAAGAGAAATATCAAAGCTATGGCGGAATGAAACAACTAAACAGGATTTAACAGCAAACAACGAGGATTTATTTGGTAGAGGCGAAAAATACGAGAGTAAATCCAAAAGTAAAGCAGTTCTTTTTAACATATAAGAATTAAGGAATACAATCAAATATATCGTACATCAAAATATACATATACATCACAGATTCACATCCCTACTTCTTAACATATTCACCACGACTTTCGATAGAAGTATTCCATCTTCGAATGAGAGCATGTATCTCTGCTTCGTATAACTCATATAGGCTCCTAATTACAGCGATTTTCACTTCTTCGTCCCCGCCATAACGTTTGCCATTCAGTGCCTCATTCATTGGAACAAAGTGATGGAAGTTTAAGGGTGCTAAGTCAGCTGGTGATGAAGAAGTGAAAACTACCGTAAGAAATTGGCTAAAGTCAGTAGAGTTTTATTAAGCTGGGACATATGCCCCCATTCATAGGTGTAACACTGCCATAGAAAGAGCTGTTGTTGACTAGTTAATTGACTGAATTTGTTTCTCGACATAACATCTCTATGGGTTATTTAATGGCGAAATGTAAATATTTTGAACACAAGGTTATGGCTTCAACTACATATAAAATGTAATGGTTTCAAAACAAGAGCCGAAAACTTCAATATAATTATTTGAATTAAATTGAGTTAAAGTAAGCTCTGTTCCATCTTCAAGCGAAATTTTTTTGATTCCAAAAAATTTTCGCTTTTTTTTGATTCAAAAAGAGACATGAGACCTCTTATGTCGCGAATTGGAATCATATTTTTAAATAAATAATTATTTTTATGCTCTACTTTTGTATCGAGCACTATTTTTTTAAAATAATAACTAAAATACTAAGGGACTTTGGATTATTTTTAGTTCCTTCCTAACTATATTCCTTCACACATATATTTTATATATATATTATATATATATATATATATATATATATATATATATATATATTAAATTTATTGCTGGTATTTTTACGATAAAAAATGTATTTTTATATTTTCATTGTGTTTTATTTTTGTTTAGGGGCTCACTATTTGCCCAGAGTTGGGACCCTAAGGTGCTACCACCCCGATCAGAGTGGTAAAACATCAATTAAGGGGTGGCACTACGCTTCTCAAAACCTCCGATCAGCGGCTTTGCTGCTGGACGTAGTTTATCTTCATACCCAGGACAGCTACTGATTATGTTGAGAAGTAGAGATGTAACCCTGTGATGTACGATATGTTTGTTTGTGTTCCTTATTTCTTATATAATAAACAAACTGAATTACTTTTTCACTCGCCGTCATATATCTGAGAAAATATAATAGAAAATGAATACCTCTAAAAAAGCAGAAACGAAAAAAATGTGAAAAAAATCTGAAAAAAATGTGAAGCGGAAAATGTTTCTGAGGGAATATCTGGCATTTTCTGTGTATGAATGTTCGTTCGAGTGACGGGTGAGAATTATTTGCTAAGTTCGGTTTACTTGATATGCTTACTAAAGTTTCTTGCAGTCAATGTTGAAAGTCATGCGCGCTGTTAAAATTTGGGAGCTCTAACTTCCACGAAGTCCGGATGGAAAAGACAAAGATTTTCCTCAAACTTCGGAACCACAAACTCTGGTTGAACAGCACCACGTGCATACATGCCACGAACCACGCTCGCCTTAGAAATGTCGCCTGCTGATTCATCACCAAGGTCAATTCAGGCAGCGTCGCCATGTCTAGGCGGTTCACTCGCGTAGTGGGTCTGTTCTTAGAAGGCACGACAGTAGTCTTTATTCAATTAGCCAATATGATTTGTTTTTTTTAAGTTTTAAATTTTTCCTTTTTTAGTTTCTTTTTTTTTCAAACGCATAAATTTATTTAAATGCTAAATAATAATGAAATTGCATGCTATATTTAATTATGGATTTTGGGATAACAATATATAATACTTTTATATATGAAGGCAAGGTGGGGTAATGGAGAGGAATTGAAGAGCTGAGTTCGAATTCCAATCGAATCCATTACATTCACTAATACCCTAGGGAAAGGTATGAATCCTCTTCTTCTCCCCCTAGCTATGGGTAAATAGCAAGACAGACTGGATTTTATAGCCATGGCTGGCAATAGGTCTACCGCAGAAAGAAATGGCAACCTACTGCGGGAAAAAAATCTGCCTCATCAGTCATGTATCAAAAGATACATGATCGCCTACGCATGGCACATAACTGACTGATATGTCAAGAACAATTTTAGGGAAAAGAAATACGACAAAGTGGAAAAAGTTTTCGTGTGACGCGTTTCGTCCTTTAAGACTTCATCGAACGAAGAATAATGAATCTAAATGAAATCGGCTAGATTATATGCCTAAAGCACATATTAAAATATATATATATTTGTTTAAATTTTAAATTCTCAGCGGCTCTCGTTTGTGCGCATGCGTAATCGCATCAACGTAAACGTAAATTTAGTCCAATGAAGTTCTCAAGGACGAAATGCGTCATACGAAAACTTTTTTCTAATTTGTCATGAATATTTCCCCTAAAATTATGAAGTTTTTCTTTTGATAATTTTATTATTATTTTGTAAATTTCTGTTACAGGCTGCTCGTTTGGCGGTAAAGTTTTCCAGGACGGAGAGACATTTGCCCCGGGTGGTGACCCATGCATAAGATGTTCATGCAGGGTAAGCTTAATTATTTCAAACTCTATCCACCTTCTTTTTTTTTTTCGTTTTTTTTTCTTTTTTTTTTTTTGTCGTCGCATTCAAACTTCTGTCATTTATCTTTTTATTTTCTCTCCTTATATTTTATTTCTCTCACTCATTCGCTATTTCCGGCTCTTAATGAGGAAAATGATTTAGAACAGTTCACTTATTTCTATTTTAAATCTGCTTTATTTTTACATTACACCCTATGTAGCGAAAGATCTCCGTTGTAATAAAAAAAAAAACTTTTTCGCCCGTAGACCAATCAAAGTTCTTCGCCAATAGTCAACGTTCTTTCTACAACTCACTCATTTCGCCAAAAAGTACCACGATTTTGTTTATTAATTATTCACTTAATAAAAGGTGTAAACGTGATTCAAGGTAGACGGTTACTGAATGAGGTTGTTGTATAACCATGAAAGTATAGACTAAGAAATGCGGATAATGAGTATATGTAAGATAGATAACGGTTGACCCGAGACTTGAAGAGGCTAAGATTGTAGTGATCGGAAATGAATCCCCACGGTGATGGTGGGGGAGGTTCCATAAAGTAGTGGCTCTCGAGAAGAAACTGTCCAAATGGAACTGCCTTCTTACTAATGAAATACGAAGGGAATTGGAATTATTTGTCTCAAAGTACGTGGCAGGGGAGCCTTAGCTATGAAGGTCAGAACTGGTAGAACTAAAGTCGTTCACCAGAACATGGAAATAGCGGTAGATGGGCAAGAAGCTTGTTATGGTTCGGCAAAGGGATTTGAGGGTAGAAAATAATTCATCACCCACAAGGCCGTGTAAACGTTTTTTAAAAACTGGTAAGTGAGAAAGAGAGAACTTCAGGCTAGATACGGCAGTACTCTATTTTTCGTATGATCTGGTTCTTGAGAGGACGGAGTATAGCAGGGGGGAGACGGATACTTACTGGAACGGTAGAAGGAGTCAATCATTTTATCAGTATGCTTAGAGATGGATATGCGTTCCACTTAGGGTTTCGAGTTCACTTGAGTCTCAATAAAAGGATCCTCCTTGAGAGTAGAAAGTACTTGGACGCAGTGGAATCGCGGCGAGAAATAGCTGAGCAGTACCAAATAAGGAACAAGAAATTCCACGGCGCAATAACTTAGTGGGTTAAAGCGTTGGTTCGTGATTTTGGTGACATTGGAATTATGAGTTCAAACTCTGGACCAAGCAATGTGTGCTTGGACGCAGTGGAATCGCGGCGAGAAATAACTGAGCAGTACTAAATAAGAACAAAACAAGATATCACTGGATAGAGGCAGCGGAATGAGAACAATGACCCCGCACCCTCCTATATTAAATAAAGGGTTAATTTCGAAATTCCCAGAAGGTTACCTGGATCTAAAAGTCACGATCGCCTAAGTGATAACATAACATGGCATAACGTATCTGATCTCTTCTCTAACCTAACTCTAACAGCACAGTGCTGTGTGGGTGGGGGGGTATTCGGGATTGGCTTGTCACATTCAGTTTCCCCAAAACCAAGCTAGTAACGTTTCATAGTTGTCGAGGATCATCTGATTCTTCAACTCAAGAATCAGATGACCCTCGACACTGAGTCCAAGCACACATTGCTTAGTCCAGAGTTTGAACTCATAATTCCAATGTCACCAAAATCACGAACCAACGCTTTAACCCACTAAGTTATTGCGCCGTGGAATTTCTTGTTCGCATAGCGAGGAAAGAGAGTTCAGTGAATCTAATACTCACAAGATCTAATGAAGGCAAGAGAAGCAGGATGAACAGGGACTAATGAATTTGTGTGGATAGATAGATAGATAGATAGATAGATAGATAGATAGATAGATAAGAAACAGAGCGATACACCATGGTAATAAAATCTTTTCCAACACCATAACATGTCGCATGACCATTTGTTTTAAGTAAGATTTTGCAATTATGTTCATAAAATTCGAGAAACAAACATGACGTCAAGAACGTGCTTTATAAAAATAAATCAGAGAATTCAATTTATCTTTAAATCTATTCATGACTTTCTGCTTTCTTTTAGATTTTAAAAAGCTTTTATTTATTTATTATCCATTTATTCATTTTACCGTCACCAGAAAGGGAGCGTGTCATGCGAGAAACAATCTTGTCCTGTTATGAACTGCCCTCCTGACAGAATCTACCGACCTCCAGGAAGCTGTTGCCACAAATGTCGGGGTGAGTACAACTGACTGGAGATGTCATTTTTATATATTTAATATTTTGGCCTCATTTGTCTGCCGGCGTATGACTATTGCACTTCGCCTGTCCCACCGGGGTCTTCTTTTCACCCCTCTAAGTGATTGCTAGGTGTCTGTATACACAAGCAACGAAACGCGACATGGTTCTGAAGCACTGCAGACGATGATGCCACACGAATGTTTATATGTTACCATATGGCAGCAAGAATGCCGTCCTGGGGTGAAGGCTAAGATGCATTTCGATTGGTCAATCTCAATCGCCAGACGCAAACACGAGTTCGAGTTTCGAAACAACAACAACAAAAATAATGAGAGCAAAAAACGACAGCAATAATAATAATAATAATAATAATAATAATATCCAAATATATCTACTACTAAGTAATACGTAAAGAGAAATAAAGTAAAAAGAGAATTCAGCTTTATCGTGAAATGTGCTTAAATGGCCGGAGATTTGCAAAAATGCTGTCAGCATAGCAGTGAAAATACGATGAAAACTGATTGCAGCTAAAACAGCGTTAATTTAAATTTGAAATGTAACTTTCCAAAAAATGTCAGTAAAATCTTTATCTACAATACTATCAACATTCAATTCTTGATTCCGAACAAAACGGTCGAAAGTAATCGATCAAAAACAGAACAAAATAAGTCTCTTTTGTTGAAATTCTTGAAATAAAAAATTATTATATGCCATGCTTTATCGGATCAGCGTGTTCATCTTGATGGTTATACTCTGTGGCGAACTAAGGTTACCAGGCAATAAAGGAGACCCACTCAACTGCAATGCTATCATTTAATTTTCATGACAAATAAATAAAATTTTCTAAAAATACACGTGAAAAAAGATTACAATTAAAACTTTTGTGGAAACAATGTGTATTTCTTCGTACAAGGTAACCAAAAGGTCAATGCCATTTTTGATTTATTAAAAAATGTACCCAGAAAACTTGACATACTGTTAGTCCTCAAAGATAAGGGAATCTCAAGACGGTGTAATGGTTAACAAGCTTGCCTCGCTAGAACAGTTACGACTGAGTAGTGAGTTCGATCCTCACTGGGTGTCCCTTACTTTGTGCCATATCTAAGCTACGCTTGGAAAATCGCTCGTCCTCAAAGATAATGGATATAAGCCAGCTGACCTCCAGAAAGCTGTTGCCGCAAATGCTGGGGTGAGTGCAACTGACTAGAGATATCATTTTTATATATTTAATATTTTGGCCTCATTCTTTACTGCATGTCTGAAAGATTTGTCTGCCGGCGTATGACTATTGCACTGCCCCTGTCACACCGGAGCAATCTCCATCGGCATCCAAATCCTTTTGCCAACGTGCTTCCAACATCGCGATACCCTGGCGGTAAATATCTGGTGTTTTAGTCTGTGAGTACCTACTGCAAGTCTGCCTCATTTGTGAAGGATTTCCTACGAAGTTAGTTATCCAGGAAATGGAAGATGTGGTAATCTGTTGACGCAAGGCCCGGGGATTAAGATGTATGACACAGTGTGTCCCTCTATGGTATCCCTGGCCACTCGCGCCACATAAGGTCTGGAATTGTCACGGAGGAACAGTACACTATTGCAATTAATCAGTGCTGCCTCATTCTGTTTCAGTGCCTGTTGCACGCGTTCAAACTGCGGCTGGTACAGGTTCGTAGTGATGGTTTGGCCCGTTGGTAGCAGCTCATAATGCACCAGATTCAGAGCATGATCTTGCATTAGTATAGAGGCGGTCTTGCCGTGTGAAGCACAGTCCCGCGGTGACAACCATTATCTGGCACGCTCGGAGGTGTCATACAGGAAACCACTTTTCGTGACTGGTGAGCACTCCATCAAATATGGGTACGTTGCGGTGCCGAGTAAGCAACAAGAAACAGGCTGTCATTCGTTGTTGTTTGTTGGCTTCCATTAGTATGTGGGTACCCACTTTGCTCAATTTATACGCCTTCCCCATGCTGTGTAGGTGAAGTCTGACTGTTTCATCAGAAACCTGGAAGCGTTAGGCAATCTCACCACATGTTTGGCTGCTGTTCATCTCTATGGCTGCCTTCAGGACATCTTCATCTAGGACCAGTGGACGTCCATTTCAGGGTTCATCCCAAAGAGACAGATCTCCCGGCCTGAACTTCTGGAACTAATGCCTGGCGATGCGTTGACTAACAGCATTATCGCCAAAGGTTTAACGTATTCAGCGACTTGACATAAAGCAGGCAGCCCCGAATAAGCTGATTCGACACCGTCATGTTTCTTCGCTAGTACTCGAGCTATAACTGATGTGTGTGCGCAGCGCACCTTCATTGGTCATGAGCAATGCCCCCACACCACCGCTTTCTCGACATTTCTTCCCAAACAACCTAAAAAAACATCAAGGACTTTTTTGATTATCTTATAATTACAGTGTACATGTACTGTACATTTTACTGACAGAAGATACCAAAAGTAAATGCAGAATATTATAATTGAATTATTTCTTTTTTAATTTTAAGTAATTGGTTGATAACTTTAAATTGTTTACTGCACAATTTACACGTTGACAGTTCAAAAGCACACTAGGGAAGAGCATATAGTCTGCTATATTAAGAGCAATCGTTTTTGCTCACTAGATGAGTGTTCGAATCTACCAATAAATGCTTCTGAATCTGTTTCCCCTGACAATTCTTTTTCAATGGGTAGCAATGTGTATGATTCCAAATTCACTCATTTTTTAACCTTATCTTTATTAGCTTTGAAAATATTTTCTCACATTGGACTTGACATACTGACAGTATGCAGATGACTTTATAAAGTTCTTATCCATTTTTTTTATTATTGTCAGTGTTTGCTGCTGTTGGGGTGTCCTCTCTCTAAAGAGTCTATGTTGGACGCTTCCGTCTACTCTAAGATTAATAAGAGAGAAGGCCTTGAGGGAACAGTCGAACAGATTGTTCGTTAATGTCGAACTCTCTGCCTCGAGTAGAGACGAACCTGGACGAGGCTTTGCCGAAGGGCAAAGTTTCGTCCGTGGAGGTAGACAGACCCTGAACCCGTTTATACGGGTTCTAAGGAAATATTTTTGGCCGAGCTTACAGGCTCGGAGAACCCACGGGAAAATCAGCCTTGTGCCACATACATCCCTCGTGGGGGGTGGGGGGGCTGTTAAATATTAACAGTCGAATAGATTGATCTACCTAGGCTGTGACCTTTCTCAGCTGCTGTCGAACTCTCTGCCTTTGGGCAGAGAGGAACCCAGACGAGGCTGTGCCGAAGAGCAGAATTTCGTCCGGGGAGGTAGACAGACCCGAACCTGTTTATGTGGGATCTACGAGGATTTTTTTGGGCCAAGCCTATGGGCTCTGATGACCCACGTTAAACTCGGCCTTGTGCCGCATCTACCCTCGTATCGAGCTGTTAAATATTAACAGTCGAATAGATTGAACGCTGGTCATTCGACACACACTCACTAGTCGTGTAATACTCTTCTCTTGTACTTACTGTTTAATATATGATATATCTGTAACATTTGTTTTGTTATTTCTTTAACCATTTACTTGGTCACAATAGTTGCCGTATTGTATTTTTAGTGCCATTGGTTAAGCTGACTCTCTGGTTATACTCACAACATTTAAGCCGTTGTAGGTCCCAATCTTTTTCAGAGGTTTGTCTCTATCTGACTTGAATCCTTTATTCAGTCCACGTTGATAGTTTCTTCCCATTCCAATTTCTATGCTTCCATATCTCAATACTCCCCATACATTTGGTGCTGCTTGTCCGTTCCTTCCACTGAACCAGGCAATGTGACCTTTTAGCACTAACAGATCCAGAGATTGAACACATAACTGTCAAGGAACTAGATACATTTTCACCAACGCTATCATCCTCTAGTGTCTCTGGGACGGTCTAGTGTTGAAATTCTGGATTTTTAAACCTAATGTCTGTCTTTGAGGCAACAGAATTCTGGTTGTCCAAAAGAATGCTGAGAATACCATGGGAGGGGCATGTAAACAACGAAAAAGTTTTAAGGAAAATGGGTGCGAAAAGGTCACTTCTACTTGGAATTAAAAAGAATTGAAATTTCTGGGATACATGAGGAAAATTTGAAAACTCACATAACATATTGAAATCCAGACAGACAGAAGGAAAGCAACTAGTAAACGACTTTGTGTAAATAAATGGCAGATCAGTGATTGGGAGGGATAGTAAAACGACAAACACTGCTAAGAGCTTTTTTTAATCATTACAACCCAAGAAAGGCAATAAAGCCACTGAGACGCAAAGGGGGTTACTGATTGTGAAAGAATATGAGAAAAAGGAAAACATTATTAAGGAGAGAGAACAATAAAAGAACAGGAATTAAAAAGATAAAAGATAACGATTGACATTGCATTTAAATATTTGAAGATCAAAGTCAACTGGAAAGCAAAAGAACAAAAGAGACTTCCACATGCGAGAAGTGTTATAAAAAATAGGATGTTGTGGGGAGTTGGGATCTCCCACGTCGTGAAGGGATATGGGACATAGAAGAAGTACACAGGTGGTAGGACTGAAAAGTCACATCCTCTAGTTCAGTGGCAGAAACGAACAATTGGCACAAAAGTGAATAAGTTTAGCGAATACTAACCGATATGAAATATCTCCTAAATATGCTTCCCTGGCAGTTATGTGTTCAATCCCTGGGGGCGGTAGTCCTGACTAAGGTTTGTTGGACGAAATGGACAAGCGGCACAAAGGGAAATAATATTGGCGAATACTAACCGATACGAAGTATCCCCTAAATATGCTTCCCTGGGAGTTATGTGTTCAATCCCTGGTTGTGATAGTACTGCATATGGTTTGGTGGAAGAAACAGGCAAGCAACACAAAGGGGAATAAGATTGGCGAATACTAACCCATATGAAGTATCCTCGAAATATGCTTTCTTGGCAGTTATATGTTCAATTCCTGGGTTTGGTAGTCCTCGATTCCTGGTGTTTGCTAGTCCTCGATTCCCGGTGTTTGCTAGTCCTCAATCCCTGGGTTTGGTAGTCCTCGATTCCTGGTGTTTGCTAGTCCTCGATTCCTGGTGTTTGCTAGTCCTCAATCCCTGGGTTTGGTAGTCCTCGATTCCTGGTGTTTGCTAGTCCTCAATCCCTGGGTTTGGTAGTCCTCGATTCCTGGTGTTTGCTAGTCCTCGATTCCTGGTGTTTGCTAGTCCTCAATCCCTGGGTTTGGTAGTCCTCGATTCCTGATGTTTGCTAGTCCTCAATCCCTGGGTTTTGTAGTCCTCGATTCCTGGTGTTTGCTAGTCCTCAATCCCTGGGTTTTGTAGTCCTCGATTCCTGGTGTTTGCTAGTCCTCAATCCCTGGGTTTGGTAGTCCTCAATCCCTGGGTTTGCTAGTCCTCGATTCCTGGTGTTTGCTAGTCTTCAATCCCTGGGTTTGGTAGTACTCGATTCCTGGTGTTTGCTAGTCCTCAATCCCTGGGTTTGGTAGTCCTGAATATGGTTCGATGGACGAAACGGGCAAGCGACACAAATGTGAATAACATTGGCGAAGATATGAAATATACCTAAATATGATTCCTTGGCAGTTGTGTGTTCACATTCTTTACTAAATGTTCCAAGTAGGAGTTAAGATAAACTTTATAAACTATATGTCCCAGGGATTAGCTATGGAAAATTTAGTTAAGTAGTTAAGAAAATTGAATACAGGATAAGCTGCGCTAAGAGTAGTTTATCACAAAATGTTGCAAAACCAGATTATTAACCAAAGAACTCGAATCATACTATTTAATAGCCTCGTCATGCATGGCATCAAAATCGTTCAGAAATGTCTAAACTATCAGCTATATACGACCGTTTTCTTAGAGCAGTGATTAACAATGGATCAAAACGAGAACCATTTATTCCACTGAATTGAATAATGCGTTCGGTTCGAAATTTCAAGACGGTTACCGAATCTGAAGGCAGACACCTGAAGAAGGTAGGTTAGTATAACGACTGAAATCAAAATGAGCATATTGGTCCGAATAGTAAACCATGTACTATTAAATGCTTGAAACTGTATTAGGACTTAATCTAACAAAAGCTTTTTTTTTTTCTTGTTTGTTTTTGTTTTAGGATCTCGGAAGATTTACGATGTTTTGTCAGTTTGTTTCTTCAGAAATAAAATCTACACTTTACGGAAATCCGTGCGGGCAGATAACTGTACGAACTGTACATGCGTGGTAAGTTTCTTTCTTCCTGTAAGCACATATCTATAAAATATAATGATGCTTCAAATATTTATCGGTCACGCAGCCTAATTTCCTCTTTTTAGCATTGAGTTTCCTTGATTTTGATTTTATTAGGCTGACCAAAATGTTCATTCGGTTTGTTGAGTAAATATTGTTTTTATTAGGTTGCCCAAAATTTCGTTCGGTTATTGAGTAAATTTTCTACTTTTCGGACAATCCAATAGATACATAATATTTGAGATGGATCCTTGCAAAGAATCTAATATAAAGTTGTTGTTTTATAACCACAATTTTTTTCTGACAGGGGCTGTAAATATCACTTAATTTTAGTTGCTTTTCATCGCAGCTTGTGGAGGTTAACAAGATAGTGGATTTTGTAAGTACTTTTGAGGTGAAAGTGCTTGTTCAGTATATAAACAAAGAAAATACAAGAAGTATACATAAAACTTGTTTTTTATACTTTGAACGTTCATTCCTTTTATGTTAACTGTATTGAAATAAAATTAAAAGGCCTCTTGAGTATGTCCGTTTTCTTTTTAGTTCTGAAATCAGTTAATGGGATGTAAGGATACAAATGAGTAAATCTGGTTGACCTCAAGTCAGCCTCGCGCTGAGTTGGGATGACCGAACCTGTACTTCATGAATAGGGCTATTAATTGGTAAGTGGCAAGAGTTCAGTCTCGAGTGGACCAGAGAAAGTAACATTTCCTCAGTAGGAACGGTATTACCGCGTGGTTCACCTCTTGAAGCCAAGAGGAGAAAAAGAAAGATTGTCTTTTTTCCAGAAGTGGGGTCATAAAATCGCACACACTTTTCCGATTACTTTATAACTTGCATCATGGGAAAATGAATTTCTTTTTTGTTATTTTATTTAATGGTTTTATTTCATTTTCCCCAGAAGCTACACCGACAGTCAGTATACGTCCGAATTAAAATTAAGATAAAAGAAATCCTAGTAAAAACAATTAAAAATTGTTGACAATGTTTTATCAAATAAAAATTCAGGATATAATTACATTTTCAATTTGCTTGATAATTTTTTTCGTTCATTCTATTTGTATATATTTGTTAGCATGTCTATTTTGATATGAATGATTTGTCAATCATTAATATTCATTAATGTTAGTGAATCTATTTTATTAAAAAAAAAAACAAACTTAGGATGGAACGATGGTGTGTCACAAACCAACTTGTCAAGTTCTTATTTGTCCGGAGGACCAACTTCAAACTATTCCCGGGGAATGCTGCCCAACTTGCAAGATACAACCTCGAAGGGAATGCCGTTACGAGGGTCACATCTACCAGGTACCCTTTACTATTCTATGTAATTTTTAAGGACATAGTGTGTGTGTGTGTGTGTGTGTGTGTGTGTGTGTGTGTGTGTGTGTGTGTGTGTGTGTGTGCGGGAAGGTACAAAGACCTTCGTACAAGCTGAATTTGAGATATAAAGATTGCATCAAGAACACACAGCTGAAGGCTAACATCGTGCAAAATGACTGGAAATCATGACTCTAGATTGTTCATCATGGAGGAAAGTAGTCTACAATGGTAAATGAAACTATGAACAGAATCGTCTTGCGGAAGAGAAGCTCAAACAATATGTTTATAAAGAAGTTTGATATTAATTATCCTACAGATGTTGCCTCATAATTTAATCGATGGTGTAATTAATGTGGTCATGTTTGCCTTAGTGAAGCAGACCTCAAAAATCATGAAAGATGCCATACACACAGAGAAATCATTCACTTCAGGTTATTGGTTATTTCTATTTGCAAAAAGAAATTGCCTCAGTTTCTTAAATAAAACGACCTTTCGAAGCTTACCAAAATATTAAAGTAACAACTACTGCAAAAGTCACCGAATAAGGCTTGGTGGCCCACAAAAGACACAATTGTTAAAATATTAGGTAAAGTAAGTTTTTACCTTTATCCATCAAAAACGGCTGTAAAATCATATATATATATAGATAGATAGATAGATAGATAGATAGATAGATAGATAGATTGATTGATAACGAGCGAGAGAGAGGGAGAGATACGGTGGAGTAGTCGATAGCGGAGAGCAGAGTTCGAATTCCATTCGAATCCATTATATTGACTTAAGTGCTAATACCATTGGGAAAGGTATTAATCCTCTTCTTCTCGCTCCAGCTATGGATAAATAGCCTTGGACGGACAACTCAGACTAGGACAACTCTGAATCCAAAAACTGCGGACCAGTGCACCAGGTCTCTGTATTCGGCCCTTCAAAAAGTGTGTTTGGTTCTATATATATTTGGTTCTGGACAAAACCTTCACCCCTGTATGTGCTGGTTCCTAGGAACTGAGCTGCTTGACCCTCATACATCGAATACGACGGAAGAGTCCACCATATATATATATATATATATATATATATATATATATATATATATATATATATATCAATAATAAATATACATTTTTCCTCAGCTGGTATACATTGTCTTTCAGGCACAGTGCAATCATCAGATGTTGTTTTTCAATCAGCACATTTTCAAATTTCTGGCGGAGTGAATTGCGTTATAGTGCTCTTATATAACTCTGCATTGCTTGAAAATGAAACCGAACTTCAAATTTCAAGTTTAATTTAAAATTTAGTTGTTTTTGGTTTCGAAACATGTATATTTATTTAAAAATAAATGCTAAACAACTCTGGATTATAAACCTGACTGTTCTTCATATATATATATATATATATATATATATATATATATATATATAAAAAACCTTTTACTTGTAAAACTCTTTTCTCTCTCTCTCTCTCTCTCTCTCTCTCTCTCTCTCTCTCTCTCTCTCTGAGAGAGAGAAGCAGGAGAAAAGGAGATTAGACGTATGAGAAGAAAAAAAAGAAAACGAAAGTGTGTAAACCATAACATAATTAACAAATAGAAAAAAAACGGAAGTAGAAAAAAAGAAGAAAATGTTTTCCATAAGAAAAACTAGTAAAAGGAAAAGAACAAAGAATGAATAAGAAAAAAAAGAATCGATGAGAAAAGGAGAGAGAGAAAAAATCTACTTCCGGAACAAAAACGATGATGATCTTTTTTAGATGAGGATAATGCATTTTTTTTTTTTTTTATCTATGAACATGTCAAACACTTGTGATTGCTTTGTTGTTTATTTTAGGACGGAGCCCATTGGCGTCGAGATGTGTGCACAACTTGCAGCTGCCTGGATGGCTACACTGATTGTCAGATGGAACATTGTAACAACGCTCTCCAATGCCCAAAGGTAATAATATCCCAACATATCGCTTCATTTTCTCCCTGTGTAGCGTCCTGGGTGAATAAATGAAAATGCTAACAGACTGAATCATTCATTGAGAAAAGTTTCTGTTTACATGGTTAAGTTGTAATTGAAAATAGTTTACGTTACGTTGTGAGTCGTTAAGAAATTGCTACCTTTTGATTATTGTAGCTCACATTGTTTGTCTTAGATAAATAGCTCGATAAATTCTATCGTCAGACATCGTAAAAAAATCCCCAACTGAAATGTATACGTTCAGGATATTTTGCTTTTGTCACTGTTTTTTTTTTTTTTTTTATTAATTCCATGTTAACATAAGGTACGTTTTGAGAAGTACTATAAAAAATGAACAGAATTACTCTTCTCTGACAAGAATTAATGACTTAATTAAATTAACATTTTGGTCTTCTCCACTCTCCGATGTCCATTATAGACATTAGTATATCCGTGATATACTAACAACTTAACAAGAAAGAAGGAAAGACTAGAATAACCCGAAGAAATGAATTCCAAATATGAGTTTATAAATGAAAACATTTTAGAGACAACGGTGATGTACACGTATATATGTCGTGCTAAATGCATTATACACACGCACACAGACACACACAGAAAACCCACACAGATGCGCACACACATTCATATATATATATATATATATATATATATATATATATATATATATATATATATATATATATATATATATTTAAAGATATTTTGTAGGTACAAAATTTAATGATCGAAATAAAAGTATAAAATTTAATATTACCAGACATATTAAAACAGTATTAAATAATAAAAAAAAAAAACTCAACAACAAGGGGGGGGAGCAACCGGTTTCGCTCCCGCTCGTCAGGCTTCCACGGGAGATTGAAAATTAAAACAGAGAAATGTACAATAAGAATAGGTGGGAAAAAAAAAAAATTACACATACACACACACATATATATATATATATATATATATGTTCGTATATATGCAAGAAGGAACTAGAGGCAGATGACAGTGAGTCCCAGCAAACACTCACGTTCTTTTGCACAAATATATATATATATATATATATATATATATATATATATATATATATATATAGAGAGAGAGAGAGAGAGAGAGTATATTAACCTGCATCCGGAATCTCCTTTCCGAAAAGAAATACTTTTTTCCCAAGCCAGCATACATGACCATAAGAAATTTTAAAAATTAAATGAAATCAGCTAATTCAAAATCTTTTATTTTTTAAAATAAATAAATACATTAAATTCTCAAATTAAAATAATTTATAATAATTGCTTTAATATAATAAGAATATAAATAAATTGTCCATTTCACTTCGTCCGAGACTTCATTTAAACTTCATTCCGTCCGAGACTATTTCCGAGACTCTTTATTTGACATTGTCGTGTTTCGACCGCTATTATTCTTTCCATTATTTTTGAAATTATAACTACGAGTGACCAGTATAGAATGGTTTAGCCATTTTGTTCATATCTAAACTAAGAGACATTCACTAAACCCGTTAAATCTGCAACTTCAGGCAATTAAAAAATTACAAAATAAAGCGGCTTTAAGTAATTACCTAGTAACCACAATTTCTACTTTTATGTATTGGTGGTCGCGGAGAGATAATTAAAATCGTTGTAAAATGTATACGCGAATCCATTCAGTGTCGCCGGCGGTGGAAAGGTTTGTAATTAATATAGCACGAGAAAGAAGGGGAAAAGATGTAGGGTGTGTGGCTTTTGCAATATAATCTAACAACAATTCTCAATAGGCGTCATATGTCCCCTTTGAGGTCCTCATTCTCCCTTTTTTAAAGGAACCATGAATTTGTAAAAAAATTATGTTATGAAAATTATGTAGAAGGAAGCCGCAAAAGCTATTATGACAAAATACAAGAAGTAAAAAAAAAAAAAAAAAAACAGTGAGAATACTTGGTTGAATATGAATTCAAAAACGTATTTCCTTTAGCAAAATCCAAAAACGTAACCTAAAACGTGACTAATTTGTAGCCTGATCATTAAACTTTCACCGTCCTGGGTATGACGATAAACTACATCCTCGTTCTGGGTAAGATGATAAACTACATCTAGCAGTAAGACCTCTGATCAGGAGGTTTTGAGGAGCGTGGAACCACCTCTTAATTGCTGGTGTTCCCAGGTCCACCCTGACTTGGGGTGGTAGCACCTGTTAGGGTCCAGCTATGGGTACTTTTTTGGACAAATTATTATCAGCAGTACATTTTTGAAAAAAATATTACCAGCAATAAAAATGTTGTCGGCATTAAATAAGCCATTGAAGTTGATATGCCGTAAAACAAACCAAACAAAACCATAAAACTTTCAGAAAAGCACCACAACGTCATTCGCAATCTTCTGTCTTCCTGAATCCTGTTCTTTTATTGCCGTTTCTCCTCACTAAATTTTTCTCATTCTCTTCTACTCCCAGTAACCCCTTGCATCTTAGTGGCATTATCGTCTTGTTTGGGGTGAAATGAAAACAAGCTCAAGAATCACATTGATGTTTAATTTTATACAGTATTTTTTTTAAATTTCTTCCAGAATAGTGGATTATTCTTTAATAAATGAGTTTCCGACTCTTTATTCACGTTATATCCTTGTTTAATAATGTCCTCTTGAACTTGAAAAGAGCCCTTACTAGGGCCGTGGAAAGTTTATCGAATTCACGCGAAGGATTTCTTATTCCTTGTTCAGCATTGTAAACAATTAATCCATATACAGTGTGTTGCCAAAAGTTATAAGAATAACAATAGTAAATAGCGTCCCAGTCCCTTGACATTACAGAGATACCGAGAACTATATTAGTTGTTCCCTGCTGAGCCAGTGTGAACATCGGCTAGATGACATGAATTATCAAAGTTCGAATGGGTTTTGATAGTGGGTTCTATGCGGTCAGGGTATTCAGTTTCTTAAATTCCGGAGACATTTGATATCCCTTCATATATTGTGTCACGTGTGTACTCGATGGAAGGCATTACTGCCCACTGCGTAATCTTAAAGATCGTAACCAGAGAAGACTGGTTAGAATTCTCTGCGCTAGCAAAAAATTTTCTCTACAATTACATGTACATTCAATGCAGGGAGTATCAAGCGTATATGCAGTTCAGTGTTCTTTAGGGACATAGGAACAGAAAGCCACAACACCAAGGACAGCACCGCATCTGGGTCCGTGACGTCGCTAAATGGATCCAAGAAAACGAAAAACATATGCTGTAGTTTAAAGGATCATGGCACAATTGTTTTCAAATTGATGGTAGGGATCAAGTGTGTCGCAGGCTCTATGAGGTCAAAGACCGCTGGTCTATGTATGTCATTGACGAGTGATTTCTCCGCTTAGGGCCATTGCGTATTACCGCAGAAGCCCACGACTGGGCGAGGAGCCTGATTGGAGGCCCCGGACAGTGTTTTGTGACCCTTGTTATCTAATCAATATTTACTTTTTTCTACCTATATTTATATACGTTACAAATTAAACTAAGCACAACTGACTGTTAAAGGATGACGCCATTCTGTCCAAAGCCGAGAATTTGTATTGCTCATGTTAAGTCTCGAATAAACACTATATAGATTCACTATTTTTTATCTATCATGATGAATGTGTTAAAAGTCTTCAACTTTTTATCAAGAAAAACCTCAAGTTGGTATTAAAAATTGCCGCAAAACATTGTTGATTTATTTAAGATGGAATGGTCTATTATGACATGTCTCTAATTTATATTTAGATACATTGTATTTATTTTCATTTTTTCTAGTATAATTGTTCACCTATATTGCATATGATCCATTATTGGGCATAATTAGGTTACATTAAAATTTGTTGGCATCTTGATTCCCTACCTTTTATTGTCGAAACAGTTAAATGTAACCCCCTCTTCTACTCCAAGAGTTTCTTCTCTCGCACTTCCCGACAGTGGAACTCCCTTCCTTCTTCTTGCTTCGTTGATAACTATAGTCTTCAAAAATTATAATGTCAGTCGACATTTTCTGATGTCTTCTTTTTATCCCCCTCCGTTCTTCTTTTTATCCTTTCCTCAATCCCCGCTATACCCAGTCTTTTCCCTTACACTCTCTTTAGAGCCTTACGTACTAGAGACGCTTCCGCCTTGCTTGGGGTGAATTGCTTAAAAATATATATATGAACACTACTTATTGAAAATTGAGATGTAGTAGAGCTGGAACCCCGTATCATAGATTCGTGGGGGTTATTATAGATCCAGTAGGGGCCCACTAAACTCTGGATATATTACCTATTTTGGTATGCCAGCAAGAACCGATTTATATTCATGTGATTCTATTTTCATTTGCAGGGTTACAAATTACAGTTTACACCGGAAGCTTGCTGTCCAACTTGTGTTGAAGGTAAATAACTTATGAAACAATTACAATTATTATCATCGATTAGCTTCGATTATCATTGATCTTTGTTCATCCTTAAGCCATCCACTAGAAATATTTCTCGTTTATACAAGTTTAGTTAAAAACTAACGATACTTCTGAAGTTGGACGTCTGTAAATTGTCTCTTGAATATTGCATCTTAATGTGAAATCAAGAAGTAAAATTAGTTTTATTACATTTATAACTGTAGTACATAATGTGAATTGTTTCAACTAGAATTATTCATATTGGTAGTTAGCATAATGAGACAGTCGTTAGCCTACCGCAACCCATGGCGCAAGCATACTAGCCTACTTACTAGTACCGATACACCGCAGGAATTAAGGTTAGCTTTTTGTAATTGTTATATTAGATAACCCCCTATTTTGGGCAGTAATTTTTAAGTATTAAAGGTCGTCTTATACGCGGAAATATACGGTATATATCTTCATATATACATATGTCTGCATGAGATTTGTTTCATAATTTCATTATAAATATGTCAGAATATATTTAATTCGTCCCTACACCGTCAATAAAACATCAGTTTACCGTCATTGTTTTGCTAGATTAGACGATTTGGGTGGCATTTATATAATCTTTTATTGTTCTATTTATCATTGCATATGTCTTAACAAAATAATGACGTTTGTGCTCTTTTCTTATAAGTTATAATTATAAGATTTATTACATTACTATATTTTAATATCTCTTGAATTACAGAGGCTGTATGTACGGTTTTCGGCGATCCCCACTACCGGACATTTGATGGCAAGATCTACAATTTTCAGGGACGCTGTAAATACATACTGGCACGGGATTGTGTAAACAAGACGTTCAGTATTAAAGTCCAGAACGATGCCAGGTTAACTTCTGGTTTTTCTTGGACACACCGCGTTACTATCCTTCTTGAAAGATATAGAATTACGCTACAACAGAATCTAATCGTCAAAGTCAATAGACAAAAAATTAAACTTCCTTTCCGTTCATACGATGGTACATCTTTATGGATCCGACAGGAGGGCCACTCAGTTGTCATGGACACAGTGACTGGACTTCAAATAGTTTGGGATGGCGACAGCTTTCTAGAACTGACTGTTCCCAGTAAATATAAACAAAAGCTTTGCGGTCTGTGTGGTAATTACAACGGTGACCCTAATGATGATATGACCGGACGGGATGGAATTCTTTATTACAATGAACAGGAATTTGGCGACACCTGGCGGACGGGAAGTCAGTCAGCCTGTCGGAATCGACTTACCTTCCACAAAATGGAATCGCCTCCTTGTAAGAAGAATTTAAGGGCTCGGAACAGAGAGTGTCAGATTTTGATTAGCGATGTTTTTGAAGAGTGTCGTAAAAAAGTTGACCCTAAGACTTATTACAGGTAAGTGAATTACTTTATGGTTTATCATTATTTTTCCCTGAACTGATATACATATATATATATATGTGTGTGTGTGTGTGTGTGTGTGTGTGTGTTAGGTTAATAATCCGAAGAACCTTAGTATTTTTGTTTTATTTTTTTTAAAAACTGCTCAATACACAAGTAGAGGTTATATTATAATTATTTTTTTAAAAATATGATTCCATCGCTACATAAGAGTTCTCATGTTTCAAAAACAGAAGCTAAAAACTCCAATGTAATTATAGAAACTAAATTAAATTAAATTAAAGTACCTAGTTCTGTTTCATCCTCAAGCGAATTTTGAAATAATAAATTTTGAAATTTACAGAGCTTTATAAGCATATACATTCGTAATATTAATTTCTATGGAAACGGAGAAAAACAATCATTTTAATAAGAGTTTACATTTTCAATGAAAACTATTGTATCAACATATTAGTTACTTTCGAAAAGAGGTTAAGTCAAGTTAGGGTAGGGGTGGCTATTTTCAAACGAATGATGACATCCGTTCAACGCATATCGTCTGGTCCATTTTAACGGCAGAGAGTTTTTGGCACTTTTTGTTACACCGTTAAATTTGTATTTGTATGCATAAACTTTTTTTTCTAAAAGGGTTGTTTGTATATAAATACGTCGTATTGAACTACAATTTGTTTTTTTGACGACTTCATAAGGGTTTTTTTATGATTGGGTTAAGTTTTTAAACCTATTGCTTTAATTGAACTTTTTTATAGACTTGGAAATTTAAAAAAAATTTTAGGCTAATTATTTAAGGCGAATATTTGTCGGTGTCGGCAAAAAACCGTTATCTCATATCTTTGATTTAATCAATTTTCGTTTTTTAGAAACTTAATAATGTATAGTTTTTCATGTAGGCATAAAGGGCATGGGTCATCCCAGGTTTCACAAGTTCTTATTCTATTTATTATTTTCCATTTTACTTTTGGTGTTTTATTCGTTTCTTTTAAATGCCCAAAATATGTCTGATTTCTTTTTCTAATATTATTGAAGGAGCTTTTGTCTTGTCTCCACCTAATTTTAAATTCATTCTTCGTGGACTTTATATATATCATTTTTTAAATGTAAAACAGACCACTTAAAGTGTTTTGCATTTAAATTAAATTATATATATATATATATATATATATATATATAATGTAAGTCTATTTAAACTCGGTGGGTGAAAAAACCTGGATAGCACAATTTTCACACAAATTGGCATCCGAGGAAAAATTGGAAAAAAAGGCAGCACCAGAAACCTCCGAACAGGGCGAAACTATATATATAGTCGTTCGCATCCGAACATCGAGATTTTCATCCTCTCTCTCCCTACTCACCCACCCCACCCCTGGTAACTAAAATAGCATGCAATGGCGGAGATGGTTGCGAATCAATGGGAGTTTGATGAGGCCATTCGCGTGAATTTGATTTTGGTTGACAATGGGTGACGGAGAAGCCCACACGCTTGGCCAGCTCAGCAGGAATTGAGACAGGCGAGATCTGGCGAACCTGATTGAATAGAGCTGTTGGATGCTTGGTCTGCCAAGGCACGCCTTGGTTACGCCAGCCTGACTGGCGCTGCCCTTTTCCGGTGGTTTAGCCGTTCCGATCGTGTCGGTCTTTGCCTATTCTGCAGTTGGGGTCTTTGGGGGTTGCTCGCGTTCTATTTGGTCCTTCCTCTTCGACCTTACCGCCATGGGTGGCCCTACAGGAGTTGGAACTCCAGACGGCTTCGCTCTTTATATATAATATACATACATATATATATATATATATATATATATATATATATATATATATATATATATATATATATTACATGACAAAAACATGTAAAAATGGCTACACAATTGCAGTTGTGTTTCAATGCATATCATCAGGCGATAGTTAATTACTGGCGAGTGAACGATTTATTTAGATTTAAATACAACCTCTATTTACAAAAAAAAGAAAAAGTGGGTGATCAACCAATGAAATATGACTTACTAAGCGAAGAAGCAAAAATTAAAAATAATTTTTATAAATGGGTCATGACCCGTAGATTGTCAACTAACGGCAGCCAGACAAAAATGCTAAACATAAAATTCTTTTTGTAGTTGATAAATAAATAGCTTCTTTAATAATGTAGTAAATAATTTAAATATATAGAATTATTTGGTAAATGAATATGCAACTGTTAAATAAAGATCCTTTATCATATAAGATGTTAAGAACACTAACCAATCAATGTAAAATGTCAAAAATATCAGGCAAATACCAATGCATCTGTACAAGATGTTACTGATACTACTAGGAAGTTAATACAACATTATATTAAATCCAGATTAATCTTACAAATAGAAGGATAAGCCATATATGGTGCAACGCAGTAACAACTAAAATATAAGAAAAACTACTATCAAATTTCAAAGTTTAACTAAGTTGTGAGGTAAAAGGTAAACTATGCTTACAATTTGATGTTAATTCCCTTCTTTATTTAATAAAGAATTTTTGTCAAAAAATCTAATTCTTTCGATTTTTTATGTAAACACAGAAAACAGAATCTACATGCCCTTCACCTTAGGAGTCTTATCATCTTTTAAACTCCAAAAATATTTAGAAAGTGATGTATTATTTCTGTAAGTACTATTGGTGAAGATATGTTGATACCACCTAGTCTCAAAAGAATTCATAGTGCTACCAATATAAAAATTTTCAACTGTCGAATTCTCTATTGTGGTGATAGTACTATATATATATATATATATATATATATATATATATATATATATATATTGTAGGCATCATCAGATTTTTGGTTTGAAATAAAAAGAAAAAAAAAAAATTATATAACTTGTTTAACAAATAACCCAATCATCAGATTCATAGTAGAAATTATTAACTACAAACTTGCATACAACATAACACCCTTCATAATACATAGCCCAAATTAGTAGTTTAAATACCTTACCTAAAAAGATAACCCTTTATGAAGTCGTCAAAAAACAAACGCCACGAAAGTTTTTCTTTTTATAAGCACAATTCCCTTTCATAATAAAATAAAATAAAATAAATAAATAAATCTCCATAGACAAGCCAACTTGACGAAAGCTTAATACATCTTCGTTTCTTTTTTAACACCCCCACCTTCCCCGACTTGACACCTTGAAAGTATCTCTATACCGCCACTCATCATTAACACCCTACACTCGCCTACCCATTTTAGACAATTCGCCCTAACTGTTACCATGGTGATTTTGATTTCAACTTTTAAAACAAGTAAATTTCAGATATACGTTATTCCAACAAAAAACTCGCTTGAAGATGGAACGGAGCCCTTTTTAATTTCAACTCAGTTTAATTTAAAGGATTATATTGAAGTTTTCGGCTCTTGTTTTGAAACATGAGACCTCTTATGTAGCGATGTGGAATCATATTTTAAATAAATAATTATATTTATGCTCTACTTTTGTATCGAGCACTATTTTTAAAAATAATAACAAAAAATACTAAGGAACTTTGGACTATTTACCTAACCAGTTCCTTCCTATTTTCTATATATTTTCACACACACATATATATATATATATATATATATATATATATATATATATATATATATATATAAACATTATATTATTTTTCATTTTATTTTCAAAGATCGTGTCTCATGGACATGTGTGATTGTCCAAAAGGCAAACTTTGTTCCTGTGAGTCTTTGCTAGCCTACAGTCGAGCTTGTGCCCGTGAAGGATTATATATACCTCAAGAAAAATATGGTCACTGTAAAGGTAAGTATCCCTCGTTCTTTTCTTCAGATCTTTTTTTTCCTTCGCCATTGACGACAATTTCAAGCTGTAATATGGTGGCTCACGTTAGATCCTGCCTAAATAGATTTTGCACTCAATGATATTAAGAAAAGCCAGGTGCAGGGTTGATAACTCTTTGAATTTCTTATTTATTCATTTATTACAAACACAGAAACACACACATATCTAGGTCCCACCCTTTTACAGTTGAATCAGTTAAATGTAACTGCCACTTCTACTCAACAGTTTCTTTTCTCGTACTTCCCGCCTGTGGAATTACTTGCTTCCCTGATAACTACAACCTTCAAAAATTTAAATGCAACGTCAATCGCCATCTTCTGTCGTCTTGAAACGCGGTCATCTTTTATCCTTTCTTCAATCCGACCTATACTCAGTCCTTTCTCTCATTTTCATTCTCTGTAACCCCCTGCGTACTAGTGGTATTCCCACCTTGCTTGGGGTGAATATATATATATATATATATATATATATATATATTAAGATATTTTTATGTTTATAAATTCTTTTTATAGATACAAATATCTAAGTAAATGCTCTGTTTATAATAAACAGTATTAAACAACATTTACCGACCTGAATGCCCGAGAAATTTTCAGGCCGGTAAATGTTGTTTAATACTGTTTATTATAAACAGAGAATTTACTTAAACATTTGTTTCTATGAAAAGAATGTATAAAAATGTCTTAAGATAATTGTCGAACTTTATCTATTTCATAATATATATATATATATATATATATATATATATATATATATATATAAATGACAATAGGAAATCTGTAGTTATTACTGACGCGTTTCGTCCAATGTTTCGTCAGCAATAACTACAGTTTCCTTATTGTCATTTATAAATATTGTCTTTTCTACAGGTTAACTCTGTGAAATTTTCATATACATATATATGTATGTATGTATGTATTAATATATATATTTATATATATAAAATGTTCATATATATATATATATATATATATATATATATATATATATATATATATATATATATATATTTATATACATATACATATATATATATATATATATATATATATATATATGAAAATGTTATAAGTTTTTATTCAGTTTTTCGAATATTTTAGAGTTTTCCTTACCGGAACTAAGAACGTGTAGAAATTGTCCGTCTTAGTGCTAAGCGCATCCGGTCATTAGTCATTTTCAAGGTGTCATTAACTCGTAAACTAGCAAATCATTTAAGTGATAGGAGTTCTATAAAGAAACACTTACAAAATCCTACATAACAACCTGCTCCAATAACAAAAATCCTTGTAGATAATACTGTCATTCGAAAAAAATGTAATTATAAAAGACATCTGAAAATTAATCACGGGGTTATATTGAGGGCAAAAGAGGGAGGGAAAGTCAGTGAACTTGTTTGAAAAGATGGCAGAAGAGGGGACGGAGTCCTTAACAAAGGGATAGGAAATTGTGGAGAGCCCTGACCGTTTATGCTCTAAATAAGAACTGGGATTACTAATTTTGTGACTGCAGTTGAGAATGCAGCACAAGAAAGAACGAGAATTGAAGGAAAGTTGAGAATGTATCAAGTTTATGTACAGAAAATGCATGAAAAAGATTTTGTTGAAACCAGGATAAGTGGTGTGATTTTAGACCAACATGGTTGAATATAATATCTAATATTAATTTAGACTGTAAAGTTCATTTAGCTTTAGTTACGTCATGTGTAGAGAATTCAAATGAAAAGTACACTGCTGATAGTCTTCTGTGTGATGTGATGTTTGTATTGAGTGACGTAGGTTCATGTGAACTTCAAACGTACAATGTTAACTGGTTTTCATCTCGACTTTTTATCCCAAAACTTTAACAACTTGGATTTTCATTGGCTTAAAAAATGCTATTTACACTTTTTTTAGTCTGGCTCATTCGAATTTATGTAGATTTTTTCGGAATAAATTATGCAGCACTTATTTCGATTAACCGCGTTACTTAGAACGATTACTTCGCTACTTATGGCGCTTTTCTAAGCGTAGATTACATGGGATACAAGGCCGGAAGTATGGGGCACCCAATGAGGATTGTAATTGATCCAGAAAGGGAAGCTTACTAACCATTACACCACGTCGAAGTGCCCATAAGCGTAGCTTAGATGTGACATAAGATAATATTTTTTGAGATAATAAACATAGAAATTTTCGATGCTAAATACATGAACTTGATGAACAGAGTTTGTCTTTGATTTATTACACGTAGTTTTAATGGGTCGTAGTGCAAAATATGGTTCTTGCTGTGGGTCGTAATGAAAAGATGTTTGAAAAACACTGATCTGGGCAAATGAAACCATACAGACATATTGTTGAGCAAAATAAGATTTATTCATTAAAATATGAATAAGAAATTCGGAGGTATGTAGATTTCATGAACGTTTTTACAAGTTTTCAATATGAACACCGCACGATCATCTCTTCTGATACTGGTAGTCGCCCAGATCTTTTTGCCATGCTACATCTTTGAACATCTTGTGCCATATCCAAATCTACATTGCAGTTTAGCGTATTCTATCACAAATGCACGCTACACAGTTTTACTCTAACACACGACAGGTTTTTCTTTTCCAGCGAATGGCATCATTACACCTGAAAAAAAAACCCAGAAAATAATAAAATTGAATTTTGAGTTCTTTCTACACATGCTGTTAAAATTTGGGATCATTTGAACGAGAACTGATCAAATTATTAGGTTACGAAATTATAGCATTTTTTTAAACACGCTGTAGTTAATTAATATAGTTAATTAATATACTTAATTAGCATAATTAATAGAAGCATCATTCTAGTGTACACGTGCCGTCAACATGGCAGAAATTGTTAAAAAGTTTTAATAGTGAGATGAAATGAAACAAAATGTATCTGATCAAGGTGATCCTTAACTTAGGCCTGTACAGCGCGTGTAGCTCTTCAGGCACTGGGGGCCAACTGTCAACACGCGAAAGTTCCTTGCTGGAATTGGATTAAAAAATTAAGTCGTTTTTTTTTTTAAATTTGTACTTTTTACTTATGGATTAAGTTAAGTTTATTATTCAAGATACTGAAGTAAGTAATAATGTTTATTTATTTTATTTGAACTTGCAATATTTTACCTTTAAACAAACTTTTTCAGTACGAAATTCGCAAGTATCATTAAGAATTTCATCACATAATTTTTTTATTTTATGTAATAAAACTCTTAATATAAATTAATATTTTTCTATATGCTATTGTTATTCAACAATAACGATATTAAGTATAAATTAATTTTCGTTAATTTGCAGTGTAACACCCACGCTCAATTCGCATTCAAAATTTCCAGAATACTTACATTTATATGTAATTGTATATGCTCCATTTGAATCTGGCTTGATAAATTTTATAAAATCTACCGTTTTGGAGTTATCGACAGTGAAAGTTCGGATTCATTCGCGTCGCAGGCAGCCATTACTGGCGTTGTTTGTATACATTCGCTGCAGAATAGCTATCAGTGTAGGTATCATTGCGCAAACTGAGCGTGTCTACGTAAATAGTTCTCGTGCACAGTAATTGAAACAAATTTAAACAAGAAAGATCAGTTCTGAGCTTAGCTTTCCGTAGTTTTCCGCGTTCTGAGTGCGGATGTTGCACTGCAAATTAACCCTAATTTTTTATGAATAATTTGTTTTGTTTTTTTTAAACAGAACAGGTACTTTTTAAGTATGTTGAATTTTTCTCTCATTCGTAAATAAATAGAAGACATTAAAAAAAACGCTAACGTTTTTCACTGCGAAATTGATGATAAATGATACTTATTAAAGAATTTGTCACAAAGTTAATGTTGGGAATTCAATAAATTTAATATTTCACAACTATTAAAAATATACCTGAAAAATATAAAGAAGATATTGTTGTCTTATCAACTTCTTTACATTTTTTACATTATTTTAATCAGCAAAATTCACCAAATGTCATTATTAAGAATTTTGTCAAAGAAAGTTTAATTTTTTTTTATGATATTATTCTTCATAATAACAAATATCTTGATTATAAAATTCATTTTTTAAGGAATGGGTTGTGTTTTCGGTAAATTTGCTTTTCAACCCCCAAGCGAATGATTGCGATTAAATCCGATTTTTTTTTCTGGTCAATAACTCCAAAACGGTAGGTTTTATCATAATTGTAATTGTTAATTCGTGTTTAGCATGTACATTTATACGGAAATATGACGATTTCGAAAAATATTAATAGATATTTAGCTTGGGGATTGAAAAACAAATTTACCGTGTTTTCTTTATAACACGTGAAATATGTTCATACCATCCTTGTAAGAAAACAAAAAATGAATGTAACTTTTTGCACTGCCAATTTTTCAAAATTACTACATTATACAGAAATTTGCGCATTTTAAAAAAAATTAAATAAAAATTTAATTTAATTTTTTTTTTCTGGGATATTATTCTTCATAACAAACATTGATTTTAAAAAATTATTTACAGACGGGTATTTTAAAAAATATATATGTTTAATATTTCTAGCATTCTTGTTGATGAAAATGTAAAGCAAAATTTAACCAGTTTAATATTTATTTAAAATATACTGTAAAAAAGCTGATTAATTTTGTTTAGATAATCGTTTTTATGGAGGAGGCGGTGATCAATCCGCACCCACCCCCGTAAAATACAATTATCTAAAAATTTTAATGAGGGAGGTTCAGTTCACTATGTAACTTCAACATAAAACATGCCCTGGGCAGTGGATAAATTTGGAAATCCTTTGCAGCCACGTAATTCCTTAAAAACAATGAAAAGTAGCTTAAGATGACAAATTCCCACATTCATACACACTTTAAGATTCTTAAATCTGAATCATAAACCCTCTAGACCTTAGAATATAAGGTTCATACACTTTTTAAAAACACCATGTAATTTTTACAAAATAATACTTTAGTTAATATAATTTACTTCTACGTTTTTTGGGTTTTTTTGGCTTTTTTTTTTGTTTTGCAGTCTTATTTGTTCAAGCCTTTCATATGAAGTACTCTTGTCAATTAAGTGAACGTCTTGCTTGAAACAGGCTGTGCCGTCGACGTCTTTGTCGTTCAGTTTGACATACAATAATAATGCATATTACCATTACACATAGTTTTAAATTTGAATTTCCCAGACTGTATATATATTATTATTGCTACTAACCGCATTTCTGGATCTACTAACCGTATTACCAATTGTATTATTACGTCAAAACATTTATTTGCTATATTTCATTCCTGCGTTTGTCATTCATTTGAGACCGAATTACATCCCGGAATCCACAACACAGGGTAATTTGGGGAGTTAACCAATGAAATATATGTAAAAAGAGGGAAAATTGAAAATAAAAAAATATCTGGTATCCCTGTAGTATCGAGTGACATTTTTATATTACCACAATTTATTTGTTTCAAAAATATTCCTATTCTTGAAAATAAAGACTAATATTATTAAATATTTCCTCTTCTGTGGGACAACTTCTTCTCCGAACATAGCCTGCTATATACAAAAGTAGCACTTTAACATCTTTAGGCATTCAAAGTTTGGTAAGTTATCAAATGTCTGGCACTCCATTTCATCCAGCAAATGTCCACATTTTGAGTAATTATGGCCTGCATCAAAGTTGCATTCTTTGAATCCAACATTTAATTTAAGATATAGTTTTAGTTTTTTCAATATTGAAATTTTTCAATAACATTTTGAACTTTTATAAAATATGCACCGCCAGAACTTTGTTTTAATTTTCCAAATTCATTTTCTAAACATTCTGTGGTAAATTCACCAAGCATAACAAAATGAAACCCACTATTAGCAAATATCTACTAACATCAATTAAGCCATTGAATGTATCTTCAGTAGTTATCTCTTGTTAATGATTTCATTCTTTTTCCTTGATTTCCTCTCATTCTTTTTGTCATTTTTCCGCAATTAGAAAGAAATAACAGATGTTTATCATCTAAATTTTATATCAACTTTTTCAGTGGATCATTTTTGTCTTAGTATCTCTATCTATAAAAGGCGTGTGTGTGTGTGTGTGTGTGTGTGTGTGTGTGTGTGTGTGTGTGTGTGTGTGTGTGTAACGAATGCACGGCCGCAATTTTCGACGGATTTGCACCAAAATTTACATGCACATGCTCCAAGTTAGCGGGAAGGCCAAGACCGGCTTTGCATTTCCCAACTTCCATCGATAGTGGAAATAATCTTCTAATGCTTCTACGGCAATTTTCATGTAGTTTGGGGCCATTTTCTACTGGCCAGAGTGAGACCCTATAGCTGGCTGCCACGAATAGGCAGGAAGATTCTATTGGCCAGTGTGAGAGCCAACAGCTGACCGGCACGAATGTTAACTAGCATGCAAAAAAAATCGATAGCTGCATTCGTCACAAGTGGGAAAAATTTAAATCTGCATGGCACTTTACTCCAATTGGCCTATTCGCTTGCTTAAACTCAACGTTGATTCTGATTCTGCAGAACTGGGTTGGGTGTGAAAAAGTATTTGTTGTTAACATTCTTTTTTCATTCGGTTTTTCCAGTTACGAGTCCTTTTTTTAAAGCTGATCGTTTTGTGTTCATTTTGTTTAGTTCTTTTTTCGTAACAGATTCAATGTTTAGTATAGAGGTTAGAAAAAATTCGCAGTGTGAGATAGGCAAGAAGTAAGGCATGTAGCAACATCAGCACGGCAAAGGGCACTCCTTTAAAGGCAAGGAAGGGCAAAAATATTTCAAGTCAAGTGATAGCGATTGCTGTATGAGTCGTACGATTTTTTAAACAAGCACGGGCAACGTCGGGCCATGTTGCTAGTCACCATATAATACAATTTTCCAAAATTTTAATTTTTTCAATGAAATTAACTGTTTCTGCAGTATCCTCCCCATTTAATGTGTGTGTTTTAATGCTAGTTACAGTTTATTTTACAAAATAATAGTTTAGTTAATATATTTTAAGTAGTAAAGGAACAGATTACTTATACGATTCATTTTGCAGGGGAACTAATTTTATCTAAATTAGGATACATATTTTATTTGTATTGATTATCAAAATGACTAAAATTTTCCTTTTGACAAATGTTTTTTTTTTTTTTTTTTGCTTGCACAGTAGTTCAAATTTGACATTTTTCTTGTTCAATTTTTTTTAACTTTTGCTTTTTGTTTGTTTTTGTTTTTCAGACAAAACATGCCCGGAAGGAGCCGTGTTTAATATCTGTGGCCCAGCTTGCTGGAGAACGTGTGATAACCTCAACGACGTTGATCGGGCGTGTTTCTTGAAGCCCTGCGTTCGAGGTTGCCATTGTCCGAGGAACAAGGTCTTACACAATGGTCGTTGTATCCCGGTCCACAGATGTCCAAAATCCAAGAAACTAAAAGACTGATTAGGTTTTTTTTGTTTGTTTGTTTTTTTGTTTGTTTTTTTTTCATCAGCGCATACTACAACCACGGGAATATACGCTTACAAGCGATAAATATGTATAAATGTATATAGATATATGTCGTTTATATGTATAAAAATATGCATGTATATATACCTGCATTTATATATATATATATATATATATATATATATATATATATATATATATATATATATATATATATATATATATATACATTAAATGTATATGATGTCAGTTATTGTTACACGTGCAAAAAAAAGAATACGTGTACAACCTATTCGCATAGTTCCACAAACATATATATGTATATGCAAATGCGTATATGTACACATGTTAATTATTTATTAATTTAATTGTCATACCTCAAAAAATATTATGTGTATACATATTTCTCTGTATACATACCTATCAGAGTATAGATTAATATATATATATATATATATATATATATATATATATATATATATATATATATTGAAAATGATTCACAAGGTACTTCTGTTAATTAAAGAATTACCTTATCAATCATTTTCAATGAAACATGTATTAGTGATGGATTTTATTTAAATTCACAATATATATATATATATATATATATATATATATATATATATATATATATATATATATATATATATATATATATATATATATATATATACATGATTTTATATCTATAAGTATACACATATATACATATATATATACCGTGTATATATAAGCATCTATATATATTATATGTATATATGTATTTATACGGGATACTAGCCAAACATTCGGTGAGCTTAAAGTGTGAAATGACTTCCTCAGAAACAGAAGGATTTATAAAAAAATAAAATAAAATAAAATAAAAAGTCACTTTTTTATTCTTGTGACGTGATTTCGAGAAATTTTTTAAATATTTGTCGAGACATAGAAACAGATGAATAAATTTCCCTAAGTGTAACACTTCCTATATATATATATATATATATATATATATATATATATATATATTCAAATGCAACGAGAAAAAAAAGAGTATAAATTCAAACGTTCATAGCATTAATTTAAAAGATGGCTCAGACCAGAAGAGCTATAGTTATTTATTATAAAGATGTTACATACGGAGGGACAATAAGTACTTACGACAAAGCATTTTTGTCGTGATTACTTGTTTGTCCGTATGTCATCATCTTTATATATATATATATATATATATATATATATATATATATATATATATATATATATATATATATATATATGTGGTATATTTATAGCAGATGAATGCTCGATTTCGGAGAGCCTTAAACGAAACGGACATCGAAATCAACACTGCATAGTGATTTGCAGTTTCTCAATTCATGCTTGTTGTTATGAGGTTCTGAAACTAGCATTCACCAGTGTTGTTTTCTATGTGCGCATTGTTTACATATATCTATATATCTTTTTCTATCCATATATATATATATATTTATATATATATATATATATATATATATTGTTGTTCGAAATTCCTACATTTTGGGGGGAAGAGTGACCGCTATTGAAGATAGAGCGTTTATGTATATAGTGTTCCTATAGAAATCAACAATATATATATATATATATATATATATATATATATATATATATATATATATATATATATAATTTAAGCATTTTGTTTAAAGACCAACGAAATACATTGTTATGAATTTTTCTATATTACTGACCATTGTCCAGGTCTCCGGAAAATGTGCAAAATAAATTTCAAATAATAATATTAGAATGACAACACAGAAAAAATTTTAAAAAAAGGATTATTTTATAAAATCGACATGACATGTGAAGACATGATATTTAAAAAAAAGATACTAACATAACGCAAAAATAAATAAAAACCTAAAATACACAAATAAAAAATAAATAAAGACCTAAAATACACAGCTAGAAAATAAATAAAAACCTAAAATACACAGCTAGAAAATAAATAAAAACCTAAAATACACAGATAAAAAATAAATAAAAACCTAAAATACACAGACATTCGACAATTTATTTATACACCTTCACCTGTAACCTGAAAAACTGTCCAAAATATAGGAAAATAAACAATAATCCTTAACAAAGTTCTTTCGTTGGTCTTTAACTAAACTTGCATAAATTTACTGCCTCAGAACTTCCAATACAAACACACACACACGCCTATATATATATATATATATATATATATATATATATATATATATATATAGTGATGTCAAAGATAGAATCAAGCCAAAAATGCTGATAGTCAATGGGATAATCAGAGAAAAGGTATTTAAGGCAAGTAGCCTTTGCATTAAAGTGCTCGTTATCAAAGGTAGAGCATTAATAGGATTAATGTGAGTAAAAGTTTGTTATTTAACTGATTGATGTTACCTTCAGCATCCTGACTCCAGAGTTTCGTAAGCGGACACCTGCCCGCCCATTCTTCAGGAGGTATCAGCAACTACTGATACCCACTGAAGAGTGGATGGACAGGTCCGCCTACGAAACTTTAGAGTCGGAGTGCAAAAGGTAACATCAATCAGCTAAATGACACACTTTTACACATATTAATCCTATATATATATATATATATTGCTATGTATCTATCGCCTAATCTATCTATTATGTTTAATTGCAGTTGAGAGATTCCTGCAGACATAAACAACATGAATTCACGCTCACCATCATTCCGTGTTTGCGGTTATCTTTATATTAAATGTTCAAGAGTTGTAATTTAGTAGATGCAACGGTAGAGGGTTTTACTACCAGTTCCACTAAAAATTGCATTTAGCATCTTTATCGCCAAACATTTGTAGGTCAAGAACAGATCCGTAAGAGACTAAATAGCCTCGCCGTGTGGAAAGGACAAAATGAAGACAAGGTGCGAATTTCAAAAAGGGGGACGTTACGTAATTAACACCGTTTGGAAGCTGAGGGTCAAAACGCTCAATAGCAATGCTGAAAGCTTAGAACGCTACAATCTTCTAAAAGAACAAAAAAATTAATGTTAGAAATATTTACTCAGGTTTCTAGTACCTAGTGATGAATGATTTTCCACCCTACAACCCCTTTCCCACAGACGAAAAGTCGCAAGCCTCTCGCTGCTCTATCGCTATTTCCATGGAGAGTGTTCAGACGAACTACATTCCTTAGTTCCACCAATTCTAACCTTTACAGCTGAGACCCACCTGCCACGCACATGGTACCGAACTATGTTCATTTCCATTTGTGAGATATAAATTACACCTGAGCAGGTTCTTCCCACGAAGCACCACTTTATGGAACCAACTCCCAAGAGGATGCTTCCTCGATCACTACATTTTTAATCTGTTCAAGTCTTGGGTTAACCGTTATTTTACCCACATATCTCCATAAACTGTGTCTCTTACTCTGTAATCCTCTACTTCGAGTAGTTCTTGGGCCTTGAAAAGAGTGAACATCGTTGTAAAAAATAATATAAATTAAAAAAAGGTATCAACGCCATCAAATATATGCATAAATTATATTTAGATACATACAGGGTATTCCAAAAGTCACCTAGGAACAAGGTGTTCCAAAAGTCACTTAGGAACAAGGTGTTCCAAAAATCACCTAAGTATTTTTCATCCATTTTTTTTTTTTTTTTTTTTTTTTTGTTGAACTGTTGTTTTCGCTCTATAATAATGTTTCTCTTATTCTTTGACACACAGTAATACCTTGTGTCTTAGTGGTTTACTGTCTTGCATAGAGATATATATATATATATATATATATATATATATATATATATATATATATATGTCCAGACAGAAAAAAGGAAGATCTATCTGTACACGTTCTTGGACCCCTCCCCAAAACATCTCTTTTGTCCTTCTTTTTTTTTTTTTGTATATCATTCTAGCGAGACAGTGCGTCCTTAATTAGAGCCTACAATAGATTACGAAGTGATGAGGTTTATACAACTGTGGCGCCATTTGAACAATGATCAGTATTTCGGTATGAAAATTAAGATTCTTACAGAATTAGAATTAGGATTAATGCTAAGGGGAAAATGCTAAGAAATAAAATACAAAAAATGGATAGAGATATTCGTAACAGATGAAGAATCTAATTCTTTGAAGAATGCTTCAAGGAGAAAAAAAGAACCGTAAAAGTTTAAAAATATTACTTAGTTATACAGGGTAGGGCAGAAATACCTCCCACATCTACCTCCAAGACATACCTCCTACATGATGTTAAGGCATTAATGTCAATGGTGTCATCATCTAGTTTATAGCTTACCGTTTTATCGGAGGTATTTCTGAGAGGAATATGGTGATTTTCTAAACATAGCTTTGATGTGACACAAAGCCGTAAGTATGGTGTCCCCAGTCAGGATCGAATTCTCTATTCAGTCATAACTGACCTAGCAAGACAATTTTACTAACCATTACACCACGTCGAAGTGCCCTTTCTGGGAGGTATATGTAAGATGTATTTCTGTCGCACTCTGTATATTACTACTTAACTGTCTATGGCGGAACATATCTTTCAGACGCTAGTTCTATCTTATTTTAAGATAATGGCTGGCGACTCGTTCCCGAGTATGCTCATCTAATATGCTAGCTGACTAATCCCAGTTGCAGACACCTGGTCAGGCATAACCACATAGTCAACCTAGGGTTTATACTGAACTTATGCCGAGTGGACATTAGTTCCATAATTGACTGGTTCGTTTTTGCATGTTTTTTAAAGAAATACCTCCAACATTAATGTCACTGGTGTCTTCATCTAGCTAATGTCTTACCATTATGTGATTGGTACATGTGTGAGGTATTATCAGCATGAGATAAGAAGCTGAGTAATTTCACTATGTTAATCTAATTTCCGAAAAAAACAAAAAAAAATGTAT